CGACTCTTCGCAGCCAAAGCACCTCGACGGTGCGCAACGACGGTGTTTTGTGTGGTGGCAGGGTTTGTGGTGGTGGATCTGGCGGTTGGGGTAGTGTGGTGTTTTGTGTGGTGGTGGTTTTGTAGTGAAATTGGTGGTTTGTTGGTGGTTGTGGTGGTGGGGAGGAGGTGGTGGTGGTGGTGGTGATGCTAAAGAAATGGAGAGTACGGTGTTCCTACTAGTTGTCGTGAGGTGGTGGTGGTGGTTCTGGAGACGGTGGTTTGGCGACAGTGGTGGTAGTTCTGGCGTGTCGGAGACGGTGGTGCTGCCGAATGTTTCAAACATTGGTGGTGGTTAAGCAATGTGGTGGTGAAGAGATGTAGATTACGGGGTTCCTAGTTGTCGTGAGGTGGTGGTGGTTCTGGCGACGTTGGTTCGGCGATAGTGGTGGTGGTTCGGCACGCCGGAAGCGGTGGTGCTACCGGAGGTCGCAAGTGTTGGTAGTGGTTACCAATTATTTGGTCGACCGAGACCATTAAATTGTTTAATTTGTGTCCAATAAACAATATGTGACCAATGAAAAAATTGTTGAACAATTATCCAATGTATTTCAATTGCCGAAGTAGTTTTCAATTTCAAATGTGATTTTAAAATTAGGTTATTTCCGCAAAATTGATTGACAAAATTAGGGCGAAAGACGATGACGTGGCAATCCGGGTTAACAGAACTCGGGGCGCTACAAACATCACCTGGGATTTCAATTCTTTAAATTGTTCCTGATATTCAGCAATAGATCCCCTATGTCTTAGTTTGCTGAACACTTCAATTACTTCTTCAACTGTGTTTTCTGTAAATCGTCTATAGATTTCAGTGAAAAATGTACCCCAGTCCACATCTGGAAAGCTGGTTATAAACCCATGAAACCATATATCTGATTTTCCTTTCAAATACATTTCAGCAATGCCCACTTTCATCTCCTTAGGCACTTGGTGGATTGAGAAATACTTCCTAGCCTTCCTTATCCATTCTCTAGGGCCCCTCTCCACTGAAGTATGGAAAATCAATCTTAGGGATTTTTATGTTCAACCTGTAATCTCCCCTACTGATTCCTTGTGAAGAAGAATTCCCAGTCACAGTGTTTAGCACTCTATTTGAATCCCTTTGCCATTTCCTTGAGGTGAAGAATTTCCAGAACTAACTAATCCTCCACTCATCTTAGCCAACATCCCTACAATATTTTCATATTTTTTGTTCATCTCCACCATTAACCCTTCGAGTGTATAATGTCTGCCACAGAGATGCTTCACAACTTGGTCCGTACTTTGATAAGCTACACCCAGCTTGCCCAGTTCCTTATCAATCCTTTTAATCTACTCTTCCTGGCTTTTGTTTCGGGTTTCCATTTCTCCCAGCTCACGTACTTCTCTGATACCAAATGTAATGGTTGATCCTTAACACCACACCAATTACATGCAACTTAGATTAATAAACTCAATTGACAAATGGAATTTTATTGCTTTTTAATAAACGGTAATATCAGAAGAAAAATTACAGAGAAATTGATGAAGAAAGAGATAGAGGAAAACTTGGGGAGGGGGGAGAAGAATCCAATTCACATCACACTTTCTCTATTTTCCTAATTATAGCTATATAACCAACTAGTAAGGAAGAAAACGTGAATGCTAAGAAGGAAAAACATAACTGATTGATAGAATTTGATTACAATTCAAATGACACCTTTTACAACTCAAAACGATACTGTATATTCCTAAACCAAAATGACGCCGTGTTGAATTTGAAAATTGGTTGTGACCGTTAGCCCTCTTCTTCCTCCCTCCGTAGCAAGCGTCTGCTTCTCTTCTTCTTTTGCCTCCACTTGCATTGATCCTCTTCTTCTCTTTCATAACATACACAAATGACAATTGGCTAATTTCATTCACATCTTATAGTACAAATAAATTGTCAGTTAAATTAGGCTAATAGATGTAGGGGGAGTATAATGAGAGGAAATTTAGCTTCAGTCCGCATTGATGACTTAGCTTAGGAACGGAAAAGTTAACCTCTTGCTTATTAATAATCAAGGTTTGGTAAGCAGAATATATAATTTACAAAAGAAATAGTTCGATACTCTTAATATTAAGTTCAAAATTTGTGTACCAGGTAATTTACTATGTAATGAATAACTATGCTTCAATAGTTCCTATTATTTTTTTTTCTCATTTAAACAAGTACATCTTGCATCTATTATCCTATACATAATTATGAAACAAATCACATAAATATAATAATTTCAAGTTTCAATAAAAAATTTCAATTTTTGCCATATATCAAACAATCAGACAACCACAATTGCATAACAGCAACTACCCATCAATTCAATGGAAGATTTGAAGAATTAGAAGGTTAGGATTTTACTTTTGGAAGTTTGGAAATAGGAACAACAGATCGCCGCACTCAGAGGCGTTGGGAGCTGATCTGTATGAGTGGCGTCGTGGGGTGAATAGGCTGCAGGTCGAGTGGCAGAAGACTCTGAAGTGAAGGATCGCCTGGTCACAAGTTGAAATCTCGCAGATGCCGAATGTGGATGGACTCTGAAGTCTAAAGTGAATGTAAAATAAGTTGGAATTGGCTTGTGGTTATGGTTGTGGTGGATCAGATTTTTTTAACTTGAACTGTTTGTGTTAAACAATTGAATTTGGAGCTTTTAAAAAACAAAGAGGAAATTACATAAAAACATTCATTTGATTTTTCAAATCCAAAAATCAGATCTTAAGTTTATTTAATAAAAAATCGGGTATTAATTGAATTTATAATTAAAACCCTAATTTATTTCCATTCCCCCGTCTCACCTTTCTCTTTTTTTTTTCTCTCTCTCTCTCTCTAAATACATCGGACTTCAAATATTTTTCCCATTCTCTCTATAAACCCACCAAATCGCCTCCCTCCATTCTCTTACACCTTTTCGTCGTCACCACTGTTGCCTCTTTCGACCATGAACTCCTTACCTTTCCATTCTATCACCCGCCGTCGTTGCCCAGCCCCATCACCACAGTCAATCTATATCGTCGGCCAGGAGCTTCAATCGCGACGGTAAAATTGTATGCGACGTGACATAAACTTCAATCATTCCTCACCTTTCTGTCGTCGTCGTCGTCCAACTCCATAACCACCTTTAATCCATTTCGCCCCAGAAAGATCGCGAATTACTGCGAGTTGCGACACAGATCCATCCAATCGGCGACTCTTCGCAGCCGAAGCACCGCGACGGTGCTCACCGACGGTGTTTTGTGTGGTGGCAGGATTTGTGGTGGTGGATCTGACGATTTTTGTGGTAGTGGCTGTGGTGGTGGATCTGGCGGTTGGGGTAGTGTGGTGTTTTGTGTGGTGGTGGTTTTGTAGTGAAATTGGTGGTTTGTTGGTGGTTGTGGTGGTGGGGAGGAGGTGGTGGTGGTGGTGATGCTGAAGAAATGGAGAGTGCGGTGTTCCTACTGGTTGTCGTGAGGTGGTGGTGGTGGTTCTGGAGATGGTGGTTTGGCGATAGTGGTGGTAGTTTTGGCGTGTCGGAGACGGTGGTGCTGCCGAATGTTTCAAATGTTGGTGGTGGTTAAGCAATGTGGTGGTGAAGAGATGGAGATTACGGTGTTCCCAGTTGTCGTGAGGTGGTGGTGGTTCTGGCACGCCAGAAGCGGTAGTGCTACCGGAGGTCGCAAGTGTTGGTAGTGGTCACCAATTATTTGGTCGACCGTGACCATTAAATTGTTTAATTTGTGACCAATAAACAATATGTGACCAATGAAAAAATAATTTTTGACCATGAAATTATGTGATCTAAAAAATTATTAATTTGTGATCAATAATTTAACAGTTTGTGGCTAACTAATAAGTTGTGACTCATAATATTTGTGATTTGTGACATGTTAATTTTTTGATTTGTGACCTATGAAAATTTTAATCTGAGACCGTAAAATAATTTGTAACCTATAAATTTTCTGATTTGCGATCGAAAAATAATATGTGACTGATTAATTTGATAAAATGTGATCAATAAATAAGTTGCGACACATAAGTACGTATACGTGACCATGAATTGTATAATTGTGATTTTAATATATTCAATTAATAAATAAATACTTGATTTTTGCAATTTTTAAATTTAAAGCCTAAAAATTAATTTGGTGATAGTTAGAAGCTGATCCATGAGTTCTTCCCTTAAAACAAAAATCCAAAATTTGGAAATTGGTGGGTCATGTGCCCCCATTATGTCCAATTGTGCGTCCACCCTCCGTAGCAATATAGTTTTCTTTTCATTTGTCTTAGATAGATTGATGTGGAATCGGATAAGAATACCCGACAAAAATCTTGTCAGTAAATAAGAATCGTCTTAATATTCTATTCTCGCAAAAAAAGTCATTTTATTTAGAAAAATATTTATTGTAAGTAACTATTTACTGTTTACATAAGAATAGATTGATGTAGAATGAGATAAGAATTTCTGACAAAAATCTTGTCAGAATCGCCTTAATATTCTATTCTCGCAAAAGAAGTCATTTTATTTAGAAAAATACTTCTGGTAAGTAACTATTTACCATTTACATAAGGAGAGATTGATCGGGACACAAAATCTTATCATAAAGTTCACGTTTGGTATCGATTTAAATCTAAATTTTAACTTAAGTTAAAGTCAAGAATTCATTTATATCGCATATTTTATGAGTTCCATGACTTTTAAATCATATATTTCATCTTTTTTTTAATCAAAATTTATTGAAAATCTGATTCCGACGGCAAAGGCACTTTTGAGCCAAATTATTGTAGAATGAAAATAAAAAATATAATCGTTATTGAAGTTCACATGAGAGAGAAAAATTAAATTTAAATATTGATGTAATGGATAATGTCATATTTTTTATTTTAACGACATAATATGAATGTCTCAATATTCTTCTCCCTCCAATAGCAGCAGGAGTTCAAAAGGAACCCATTTCACACAAAGAGACAACCAGATATCGCAGTGGGCGGCGATGGGTTGGGCAATAGCACTTCACGGTGGCGCCGGTGACATTCCACGTTCGCTACCTTTAGAACGCCGCGAGACGCGGGAGGCTGCTATCCGCCACTGCCTCCAGATCGGCGTCGATGCTCTCAAAGCTCATCGATCCCCACTCGACGTCGTTGAAGTCGTGGTATACATAAAATTTGATGCTCTCTCTCTCTCTCTCTCTCTATTTGAATTTATAAGTTCATGTGCAATCATTTAGTTCTTATATCTTCATATTTTTCCTCTTGTTGACTTTGTTTCAGTTCGACTCCATATTGAAAACCCGTGAATTTGTTCTCTGTTATTAAATTTAGAAAATTCCTTGTAAAATTTCTGTTTTACATTAGGATGATGATAATTTTATATTTTTATGCTTGTTTTTTATTTCGTAAATGGGATTCCTGCTGGATGCCGCTCGTGCATTACACCTGAATGTAAAAGTAGAATAATCCAACTAATAATTAATGGAAAGATAGACGAGTTTCTGGTATTTCACTATTTTTGTATTGTAAATGAGAAGAGATGCTTGATTCTGATATTTATGTTAATTTTCTCAGGTTCGTGAATTAGAAAACCATCCGCATTTTAATGCTGGTCGAGGGTCTGTTTTGACGAGCAATGGGACTGTCGAAATGGAAGCTTGTATCATGGATGGAAATACGAAGAGATGTGGGGCTGTTTCCGGTCTGATTACTGTTAAAAACCCTATATCTTTAGCGAGGCTAGTTATGGAGAAAACTCCTCATATTTATCTTGGATTTGATGGGGCGGAGGCATTTGCAAGGGAACAAGTTAGTGATCTAATCAAGTTCTTATAAGTTATATGTATACTGCAAAACCAAGGCAACCTACCTATAATTGCTTTTGTTACATGATGTTTGATTGCTTCATTTATTGTAAAACTTATTATATGGCATGGACTCTCCAAAACAGTGTCGACTTGCACGTAGCATGTCCTAATGTGGGAAATCACATGCCATAGATATTCTCATATGCACTTATTCTAGGCATAAAACAAAAAGGTAGATATTAACTTGTTACTAGAGTATATATATTTATATCTATTTCTATTTTTACCCCGAGAAGAAGTGTAAATTGTGTATTATTTGTATGTGATGTCACATATTAAGAAGTTATCTCCAGTACAATCTCGATCACAACATGATCTTGTGCCTTTTCAATTTTTATCTCCCTTTTTTTTCCATAGTTAGTCTTGGCAAGATAGTGTTTGAGAATATTTGTTCTCCCTTGATTGGAAATTTTAGTGATAAAATGTTATTGTTTTGGTAATATTACTTTCATCTTTGCCACTTTGAATTGTTCGGGAAGTGTTTAGCTAATGAATGCACAAGTAAACGTTAATGTTTTTTCTTTAACTAGTTTATGATGCTATATAAACTAATGACACCTGTATTTCGAACTTTGAAGATGATCCATTACTACAAGTAGTTAATGGGAATGGTATATCACATTTTAAGAACCGTGAGTGATCTGTTGACTATATTCATGAGATTTTCTGCTGCCTCCTTCCGTCTTCATTATCTTTTCTTTATTCCCTACTTACTTACATCTGTTTGCTTGATACAGGGGGTTGAAATGGTAGATTCGACTCATTTTATAACTCCAGAAAATATCGAGAGACTGAAACAAGCAAAAAAAGCTAACAGAGTTCAGGTATGATCTTTTTTTCATTTATCTACTTTTTTTACTCTCCATTCCTCTCTAGTTGAGCTTGAACCAAATGGCTGTGTTTGCCTGCTTTTGGCTCTTCGTATGTCTGTCTTTGGAGGTTTTCAATCAGTTAGCAAGGTAACCAGCTGAAAGGTAACAGAGATGTAACAATTGACAGATTATTCATGTTTGGGAAGTGTTTATAAATGGTTTATATTATAAATAGATGGAAACGAGTGGTGGATAATTGGGTAGTACTTGTGGGTTCCATAAAATGTGTGGTTAAACATATTTATAAACATGAGCAAAACATAGGGAAAGGAGTCACAAGAGTGGTCGCTGTGAAATTATTGTAGTTCAATTCTTAGGTCCTTCACCCACTAACAAAGTTCCTTGGGATTTTGAACAAAACTATGAGTCCATTAACTTCGGAACAAGCCTTGTAAGTTTTGTTCTCAGTATTATTAGAGAGGAAAAATGTTACAGCAATTGTCAAGTTACAGAAGAGATAGGAGGTTAAGTTAGAATCAATGTGATTATACCTAACAAAATTGAAAAAAAGGGGACTGGTTTCTTTGAGATTAAGCTCTCCACTTGGGCTCTCAAATAGGCCTAGTAAATTTAGCAATTATGACTCTCACATGGACTCGATTTAAGAGATGACCTTTTTCTAGTTCTAAAAAGCAACAAACCCTACTGAAAACGGACTGAAGTTCACCACCAAAGAATTGCCCGACAAATTACCAGAAGCATGGCTTATAAATATTCCTTTTTGTCAAATCTCAGAGAATCCTGCAATTTACAGATTGTGAAGTTTATAAAAGCATCTGTAGACTGTAAAGATTCCTAACGGCAATTCAACACTAGATCTAAACTTGATCACTAAGATTTCCTTATGGACTTAATTGAAAGACGACTTGGGTCTATCTCCCTGCAGCCCACATTTTCAAGAGTCTCTCATTTTGGGCCCTTTGTTGTTTGCATCAGTCAGTGAATTTTGGTTTTATCAATGTCCATGATGCAGGTTTATGCACAATTTCTCCCCTTTCCAACTCTCCGAAGCTGAAGAAAATAAACAATTAGGATATTTGCATCCTCCATGATTTAATGTAAACAGCGTATTAATATTTGGTAAGATTAGAAATCTTATCTGATATTCATTATTTATTTGCAGCTTGACTATACACAACCCATAAAAAAAGTTGATGAAATACCAGTTTCTGATGGGGATAGTCAAATTGGCACAGTTGGTTGTGTGGCTGTTGATGGTCATGGAAATCTAGCTACTGCTACATCTACTGGCGGATTTGTTAATAAGATGGTTGGGAGGATTGGTGATACACCCATTGTTGGGGCAGGGACGTATGCGAACAATTTTTGTGCAGTCTCGGCTACTGGTAAAGGGGAAGCTATTATTCGTGGTACTATTGCAAGAGATGTGGCCGCACTTATGGAGTATAAAGGGCTTTCTCTGAAGGATGCGGCAAAGTACGTTGTAGAGGGAGCACCAAGTGGCACCACTGGCTTGATTGCTGTCTCGGCCAAAGGGGAAGTTACAATGCCATTAAATACAAGTGGTATGTACAGAGCATGTGCTACCGAAGATGGTTATACTGAAATGGCTATTTGGCCAGGTGAGACATGTGATTGATTGTTATTCCTCTCTAGGGAAACTTGCTCTATAATTCGGAATTTTTAAGGCTATTGTCGGTGAAATATAATGAATGGGGTGTAACGCATTTGAAGCTCAGAGATTGACATAGTAAATGCTTGTTAATAAGAGTTGAATAAGAGTGCTCTTTAGTTTGCTTGGCATTTTATTGTTTCCTGCATATAACATGAGAGTATCGTCTTTCTTTCTAGTGTTCCAAAACATGCTCCATAAAAAAGCCTTGAGATGCACCTCATGTTAATCGTTCGTTCAGAACATTAAAGTTTATACTTTGAGTGACCTATGTCGAACGAACATGCATCTAGGCTTTCGCCTTGACTTGCTAAGCACCTCACATCTTGTCATGAACCTTAGGCCGTGGAGGCACATACCCTTTTGCTGATTGATGTTTCTGCAGCCAAATTTTTTTGTAAAGATTTGATTTTTTTTTTAACAGCTAAATATTAAAATTCCCAAAAATAAAATAAAAAAATTAGAGGAGAGAACATGTGCCCCGACATTGCACTTTGATACAAGACCAGTGACTTTATGACTTTGATTCTTCTCTTTTTAATTTTTCTATTTGTATCTTTATGTCGAGGCCTCCTTGTAAGCATGTCTTTTTATGGAAGCAAAACGTTTCAGTACTCAATTTAGCAGCTTTATCGACCCTTCTAACATAAACAAATTTATAAAATAGTTCGAATAATTTGTCAAGTTTGTAATCCAGATCACAAGCACAAAAAATGATTTCTTTAACGCGATTAAAAAAGTTATTCGGTCGATAAAATATCTTTTTACTTTCTAAGCGATATCTAACTGAAAATAACAAATCAAACGCACCATTAGCTTCTCAACTGTCTTACCATGATGAAATGTATGATGGGAAAGTGTTGAACGAGAAGACAAAAATGGAAATTACAGATTCAGGACTTCAACTACACATTATTACAGCAAGAAAAGGAAAGAACAAAAGAAAGAGAACACAAAACAAAACTAAAAACATTATGTGAGAGCTAAGATATATTCACAAGTGCTAAAAATGAAGATAGTACAACAATTTGAAGATGATAGAAAGAATCTCATGAGCTAAAACTGATATCCCTAGAACTTTGATACATTGGTTGCTTTCTAGTGTACTAAAAAGAATTTTCCCTCGAAAAAATACAAATTCGAAGAGGGAAGAGAAGCCCTCGTAAGTGTCAAAATTCTCTACTTCTAACTCTACAGTAATTCAATCATAAATCCGAGATTTAAACACGGTGATTGACTTGGATCAACTTGTCACACAATCCTGTAGATACTGATGGCTCTGATTTACATATTGTTCCCATAGAGGCTTGTACCTGTCTAAACCCAACTTTAGCCATGGCTTCATATTCCCATTGAAATGAATCACAGCTGCAGCTTCTATGAGACTGCTATTGATGTTAACGTCAGTACCCAATCCTAGAACGTGCCATCGTCGATCAAGTGTCTCAGTCAAGCCATAAAAGGCCAAAAGACCAGGAGGAAGAGTGCCCAGCTTCCAAAGTGACTTGGTATTTTGTTCTTGCCAATAATGATACCTTGCAGTTACATTTTCCTTCCCCCAAGCAATCAGATCGAAAACATTCATGCCAAATGCCCACCCACATGACTGAGGATCAAATTTGGAGCTGATAAGGGGGTTTGAAAAATTGAGATAGTAGTAGTAACGGTGAAAAACATCGAGACAAGTTTCCACAGCCCCATTAACGTTTCCATGTAAATCCAGGGAAAAGAGAGGGGTCAGATCCTTCTGAACAATGACGTCATCATCAAGAAAAACTACCTTCTTCAACTGGGGATAAATCTCTGGAATGTAAAACCGAAGGTGATTCATCAAAGAGATATACTTTGGATTCCGAAACTTCAGCTCATCAGTCATATCCTGTGATCCTTTGAAGTAGTATTTCCGGAAATCTGCATCTTGCAGCTGTTTCACAATGGGAGAGTAAGATGCATTCAGCCAGGTGAAATCTTCAATAGTTTGGATTTCAACTGTAGCCTCTTTGAAGTCATTACTGAGGAACCAAGCCTGCATTGCCCCATATTTTAATACATTTGTTACAATGTGGAATACAAGCTGCTTAGGATGATCAGCATTAGAAATAGTAGAATTCACCACGACCGAAACAGCCAAAATGTTATCTGAAAATATGCAGAAGTGGTAAAGATTATTGTCGACTAGTTGTGGAGAGTCCCTTCTCTCATCTGCAAGCTCCTGTATTGATGACTTCTTCAGCCAATCAGCTGCAAGTTTCATCTCAAAGCAATGAAGATTTTTTGGCACTGATTCAGCAGTAAATTGTGCTAATAGTGTACTCAGATTAGTAGCAGAACTTGCACGTTCTTCAAGAGCTCGAATATGGGATTTCATTATCATCATCGTAGTTGCAATATCATAATGAGCAACTTGTGCCTTAAAGATGAGGAACGACAAACTTATAATAATCGGTTCGGCTTCATCCAGAGATATGGGTTCCTCCTGCATTGCAGCTTTTGAGAGAAAGATTTGGCAAGTTCTTATCTTTGAACGAAGCTCCCGGGCAAGTTGAAGATTATTATCCTTTTCTGCAATGACCACATAAGCTTTGGCAAGGATTAATTGTTCTGTTAATTGTCTGACATATGATCTAGCACTTGATATTTCAACCTGTTCACTTGTGGGCTTAATCTCCAGGAAAAGAATGGAATAAGTTAATGATCTGAAAACAACTGACACGAGAGAAAAACATATCACTTATCAATGAAATGATTACTGAGACTGCTTAAGATAGCTTAAGGAGTTCCATAGAAAAACGCCAATTATGAAGCAGATCATGACACTGCAAGGACAAGCTGCCGTGCAACTTAAAAAAACCGGGACACAAACGCTCAGGGACATGTCTATTAAGTTTAGATTTATACACGTTCAGGGAAAATAAATCGACCATTTCTCAATATCTTGTTCATTCGCAGCAGATGTTCATTTTACATCAAAATCTTCCCTACTTTATCAAACATGTAAAACATTAAACTCCAAGTGACTATATATACATTTTCCAGGAATCCAGGTGAGCACGAGCAGCCGTACAACATAAAGAAAAAAAATATTCTCGCTGAGCTAACACGGGCGGCCGCAGGGGGCTCGCCTGGTGCTGGCCCCGCATAAAAGCGAGATGAAACTATAATAAGCCATTGTTTGACACACGTTCTTTCAAAGTTCATTTTCAACCGTACATTCTTCAATAAAATAATAATTTTCATCATATCAATTACTTTTCTTACTTTTAACAACATATTTATCATCATATCAATATTTAAAATACATTCTTTTCTCGATAATATCCATCAAACACACTCTACATATGATTCAATAAATGAAATAATTTGACCAGTAGGCTTACCATAATGGGCTGTTCCACATTATTGTCATGATTGTGGTTATGTTGAAGAACAAACAAACCAAATCCAGCAGTTAAGAATATCACAAGAAGAGGCCAGATACAAAATGACAACCTTATTCTACCCAAGTGCCGATAATGGAACAACCGCCGCCTCATATTAGCCGGAATCTTCCAGAATTCAGTATGAGTTCAAGAATCCAAGATGGCCCTTTACTCAAATTAGATGAATCCAATCAAAATCTACGGTGGTTCACAGCTAAAATCAAGACGACCCACCAATCAATTTACACTATGAATCAAGAACTGCATGAGATTTGATCCAAAAAGGAAATAAGAAATGTGGGTGCCTCTCAATATTGACCTATGGACACCAAGAAACGTATCAATGAATCGTTGATTGAGATGGAAAGTGAAATAACTGGTGCAAGAATGGCTTGATTTTGAAAGTGAGAGGACATAATGGAGTGTTTTCTTGGAAGGGAGCCATATGGCGAATCCAATTTTAGAATGTTAGCGCCCGCACAACTTAAAATTTTTAACTTATAAGCAAATTAATTGAAAATATTGACGCGAAAAAGTGAAAGTAAATCGAAGTCAGACCAAATTCTAACACATGCTAAAAGAATTAGGGGGGAAAATCATAATTTTGAGACGGAATTTTGTCATAAATAGACCAATTCTTGCTTTTACGTCGAATCTATTTTAAAAATAAGTAGATTGTTTATTTCAATAAGTTATTTTTAAATAAGTAACACATCTAAGAGGGTGTTTGGTAGAGATTAAAATCGGATTAAAATTGAAAAACTAGTCGTTATTGTTGACTTTTATTAGATGAGTGAGATCCAATAACGACTATATTTTCAATTTTAATTGGATTTTGAACCGTACTAAACAGGCCCTAAACATGTTTAAAAATGAAGAATTTGACACAACTTTTTACCATTTTAAAGGTTAACCATTTGTGTCTCTAGTTTCTTTTTTTTTTTTTTCCCTAATTTTGACGAATAGAAAAACTTTTTTTAAAACTTATTTAATTACTTATAAGTAAATTATTTAAGCTAGCCAAACATGCTATCATTCATAGTTTCCAAAATTGGTACACCAATCATAAATTCATAATCGTGTGGAAAGTGAAGATAGAAGAGAGTCGGGATGGGGAATAAAAAATTTCATGTTTATAATTCATTTTTTCATAATATTTATTTTAAATATAATGAAAATTATAAAACATAAAATAAAATATAATTCAATTAAAATATATAAAGTTTGATTTACCATTTTTGGTGAATTTTAAATTGTTGTGTTATTTGTATTTTACTTTCACGTTTCAGGGGCAAAAGTTATTATTATTCTGAAGGCATATTAATATAGTAGTTTTGCAAATGTGCATTGTCGTTTTATGTTACGATAAAAGTATTTATATTTTTAATATGTTATAAATATATTTGAGATATTAGATATTTTGAATAGTGATTTTTGGAGAATATGTGGTTACATAGCAGGAAAAAAAAATTGGATTTATGTGCAGAATAATTTATTGTGTGAATTTGTGGTTAAAAATGAATATATTGAAAAAATAATTTTTAAATA